TAGGGGCAGTGATCCCAAGCGGCCGGGGTGACCTAGGCTTTCTCATGGGCGGCCCAGTCAGACTGCGGAAAGCTGCTTTTAAAAACGAAAGCCGGGCCCGGCCCGGGTCCCCGCGGGTCAAGGTTTCAGCAGATAAACTTATATTCCTTAGCTAGGAAAGCCGGGCTAACTTTCCATAACACACTAATTCTCCAGTCCTTCAAGCCATGCCTCTACAGGATCCAATTCCACTATATCTAGCAGTGCTACCTTCCCCATTGCTTCATACATTCTACTACCTCAATGGCATCGTCACTAATATAATAAATTATTATTAAAGTCGATAAGACCGTTTCGCCGATCAGAAATTAGCATCGGACAGTTATTACAGCCGTTGAATCCAGTGCTTTTGGCATCGCGATTTGTGCATCTGACCGCTGCACCTGAGGATCTGACAGATTTGGCTTGGGTTGCTCCAAGATAAGACCCTGCGGTTTCCTGGGCACCGCCGGGCTCTGGCTGCTTCTGAGAATTTCGACCGGACTGATCCAGGCTTTCCAAAACCACGGCCGGACTGCAAACCTATGGTCGGGGCCGTGGTCCGGACCGGCCACTTGGGATCACTGAATAGGGGCCAGGTGGGGAGGTAGCGGTACGTGGGGGGTTTGGAATTGTCACAGTCGATCTGTGGAAACAGCGGAGATTGACTAACTTATTAGAGCGGAAAGGTGAAAGGATTAAAATAAGACAAATAGAAACTAAGAGGAGAAATGCTCTCTAATTATGCGGTGTTACTCATTGCTCGGGATATCTTCGAGTTGAAGGAAGATAGTGGTAGTGACATGCATGTTGTAGGTGGTTCCTTCTGCTCTGGAGATATTATGATTTTTCGAGAAGGTCCTCTAGATCTGCAATTCCTTGGTTGTCATGAGGCCAGACAAGGAAATGAGGACATGCATAGAAGAGGAGAGATATAAGTAGTATCTATGGAAGGATCAGGGTGATTTTGTTATGTTTTATATGTGAAATCACCTTTACAGTGCTGTTGGTTCAGAGAGCGCCCGATAAGGGAACGAAGATTGTAATCATACATTTCCTATAACCACTTCATAACACTCAATTCTTATTCTATTCCGCTCACAGCACTGTGCTACTAGTATTTATCAAGGGTCCCAAGAGAAGAGAAGTATTATCAAGAAGAGGATCCTATATTGCCAAGTGATAGGCGCTCACATGCCGGGACCTGGGAATTTTTAACCACCGCCCAAGGTGGCCCAATAATTCGAGCGACTAGGGCAATTCTCGGGAGGCAGAAAAAAAGGGAAGTTATCATATCAAACTCTCCCCAACTGCACTCATGTCTCTTCTAGATGTTATTGGAGATACATTTCCAGATACATTTTCCATTTCCGAGAGGAAGAATGAGGAAATATAGACCAATCGGCCCGGGCACCGGCGCTGTTGCTGGAGGGTGTAAAAAAAAAAACACGATCAATTTCGTGAGTTTTGGACCTTCGAGAGGATACTTAGGAAGGCGAGACATGTTTCACAAACACTTCTGCCGAGCGGCATTAGTTAACTCCCTATCCGGCTTAGTTGAAGTGTGATAATACCTCTTGCAGCAATTTTCGTGTTGTTTTCTACCACCCAAAGATATTTTAAGACCTACCCGAATCACAACTCTCTTTCCTCCCTAGAGTTGCTAGCAGTAATCTTTGGCTTCCAAAACCGTCTTCGCATACTGGGCCAGAACCCACACTACGTTGCCGGCGAGTTCAAGAGAGACTTCAGCAATAAATCTTGCAGCAAATTTACCTGACCATAACACCTATTCGAGGATTAGCCGGGGCTCGTTTGATATCAATTTTGATGCGTCGGACGCCTATTGCCAAGAAGCCTAGGCTGGTATGATATCATAGGAACTCAAATAAATCAGAGGACTTTAAAGGAACAGAAACCTGATGCTGGAGTTTATCCGTTCCGAGTCCCCTCCACCCTTGTGATCCGAAAGCCAAAGGTCGACCATACACCCCCGTGAGAATGTCCTAACGCTAGTGATCATTCCGAGCTAAGAGAATCGGTGAAACCCACGCATAGTGATATTTAGCCACATCTTCATTATTAGGCTCTATCGAAAGAAACCTTCTAATCCTAGGAACGAGTTTTAAGAGCCGAGTGGTTAAGCAAGCTGTAGTAGTACCCTAGTGGTCTCTTCAGCACTGAGAGGAGAGGGTTGAGTGCCTGACCAACTACGAAGTTGAAATAAGTTTACTTCTATATGTTTTGTAACGTTATGTAACTATCGATGTTGATTTACTCTAATTCCCATAACTCGGGCCTCCCAGGGTACCAAAATACTGATATTGATCACAAGACACGAAGTATGGATAAGGAATTGCCTGTGCTTCTACTCTGTCCAGGGCATAATAATACCTTCAATTCAACACCAAACACAAGAAACGTAACAGCCGACCAGAAGACCTTACTTGGGTAGGTTAAGTGGGAAAGGAATTCCCTTTCCAGTGCATCTAAACAGCCCATAAAACAAATTATTCTCTGCACCTTCAAGGGATTATCCTTCAAAGCAAAAATGGAGTGGCTTCCCACAGTACCCATATTTCCTCCTAATCGACATGTTGTGCAGAACAAATTCCCCAAACGAATCTCCCGGCTCCAGATACATCCACTAATCAACATCATGACTCCTTGGAGGCTTCCTAAAGCCACTAGGAATACCAGTTGTACAAACATTTAAACTCAGTTTCATCAATACCCTTCCCCGTTAGTTTCTAACTCAGGTATCGGTATTTCATTAGCAGAAATGCTCAGACTTCCCCCCCACCCCCATCAGTCCCCCATCATCAAACATCACTCGACATTTCCTGATTATTCTCGTTGGAAATCGACATCCAGCCTACCCCAGGTTGTGCCATAGAGATGTCTATATGTCATAGTATGGCATATCTGGGAGGTTTTTTTATGTATTTAAGGGACTTGTTTATCCCACTTGGAAAGTGGATCGCTTGAGGATATAATCTATCCCAATTATTACAACAATTCTGTCGGATATATGACTTCAATGCGAGGATAATGATGACGAGTACATATACTTCGGATATCTGGGGTTCTTGGAACATCGGAGTCTAGAAATGGACAAGAGTCATGATATTGTATATAGACCCTGCTGGCTGCTATAAGAACAGCTTTGGATCTTCCGATGAGTAGTAGGACAAACAAGGCAATCGACTCTCTTTTCTTTCCCTTAAAGCGTTGTATCTTCATATCAGTTTCGGCTCTCCTTCAATCATTGATTCCTTGGTCGCGATATCCGACATCTTCAATGAAATCTGAAAACAGTTCTTCAAATATCTCATAATCGAACGACAACCATAATGCTCAATATATGCACGTTCAATATGGAATGCTACTATCCTAATTTTGCGATTCTACTACTCCATACCCATCGGTTCCCATTCCTACAATTCCGGCCACCAAAGATGCCCCAACATTCTAATGCTATCCCAGAACCGCCATGCCAATTCCAGCCACTTCCATCCTATCCTGATAACAATACATTCTGAACAACATCCTTAACCTGGAAAACACCGACTCTATCACTTAACCCCGTCTCCCTGGCCTGTGGCGTCCATTAAATACGTGCAGAGTCCAGTTTATTCATGTATATTCACGTTAGCACTTGATAGAGCAAGCAAGCTACAACACATAGTCTTGAAGCCTTGAGAACCAGCAGTGGTGGTTTCTGACCACAAATTCGAAGCTTTTCTTCCCAAATTTGTCCTGGCACAGACTTGGTGCTCACCAGCTTTGATAACAGCAGATCCATATACCGGTAGTAGACCGGGAGGGCACCCAAAGCTTGACACTTCGAATGCTGCCCAGCCCTTACTCCTTCTCGCCCCAACCCGGATGCTCGGGGGCGACTGCACTCAAGACCTATTTATTTCGCCGCACGGGCCAAATTACCATAGTATGATAATTTTGGTAACAGTGTGCTAACTAAAAAAGACCATATGATACGATTCCGCTCACGATAAGGCAGGGTTGGTGGTCATTGTAGCCCGGAAGAGAAACCAAAAAGGGTAATTTGATACATACATACAATTAAAAACTGTCTCCACGAGGGATTTTCGAGTCGCTGACTTCTATATTGGATCCCAGTACGGCTACTATTGTGTAAGTCCGAAGAATGGTTCTGCGTTTCGATATCCTATTTTAAACCCTACACCATACTGTTCGGTACATGGGGGGGGCGGATATGCAACTAAGGTATGATAATTCAGGCGTCAACCCCTTATCTGAGCAGCTTTTTCATATTTTGGGAAGATCTTATCAGATCACATGATTATAGCACTTTGCCCCATCATATCATAGCCCCGAACAAAGCTGCCCTCACCTCGAAAAAATTTCTCTGCATATCGGTCATTGCCTATGATACTTCTGTTTACATTCCTTTTTTTCAAACCGCCATACCCTCTTTGTTTAAACGAACAAAAAGACTAACTGGCACATATGGTTTCTGGCTACGGAGTCAATGAATAGATATATTGCTTTCATTCCTTTGAAAAGTTTTTCGGGGGGTCTCACTTTTTCAACCAAACCTCGCTAAGTATGATATCACGAGTAGAACTACTGTATACCCCCCCGATGAGTTGGTATAATGCTTAGCCCAGCCCACACTATCTGTAGTGCTACGACAGGCTCTTGACTAGCTCACGTTCAAGCCAATCGGAGCTCAATAGTTTCCGCAGAGATATCATACTTCTAGGCTTATCCCCTAGCTCGCAGCAGCAAAATCGCAGAACCGCACTGCTCCCGAAATTGCTTGTGGCGCTCCCGGGGCCTACCCTTCTGCAAGCGACGATATCGGTAACCCTCAATATTGCAGTGCGATCTATGGTATCATAGAAGTGCAAATCCGTGATACAACAATATCAATATTTTAAATAATAATCCCATCAAACCTTTGAATGTCATGGATACTCTGTCGACACTGGCACCACAAAGAAAATCGGATAAAAATAGAGGGGAAATCAAAGGAAGAAGGAAGGAAAGATCAAAACACAATGCCCTCCCCTCTATAACTAGTCTCACGCCCATCCATCATACGCAATCCTATATAGTACAACCCCCTACCCCCTATACCCTCCAACCCTATGGGCCCGTAGAATGCCCCCACCTAGGATTAATCAAGCCCCTATACCCCACGGGATCAAGCATGACTGTCGTCTCATCAACAATTCCAAAAGCCGTATGCGACCCGTTATCAATAATTCCAAACAACAACCTCGTATTCTCCAACTTCTCCGGGAATGGGCCACCTCCGAGACAGACCCCTTCGTGTTCTCTAACAAGCTTATCCAGCGTCGGATTCCTTGTTGTCACAAGAATCTTCGAAAACAGGGTATCGGAAGTAATCCCGTTAACGTAAATAGAGTGCATACCGACGAGCACAGATGCCAGAGTTGCAATGACACTAAGAGTGTACCCGATCCAGAGGCCCTGAGGAGAATAATGGAAGCGGTTCTCATAGCGCCATTTCGTGCATCCGACAGATGTATTCACGGCGATATCGAGGTATGGAAAGGTGAGGAGGGTTAAACCCAGGTCTATGACTAGCTTTTCGACTCCGCCTTTGACATCGTTTATTGCCATACGCGTGGTCACGTTGACCAGAGGGTTGTAGCTCGAGATTCGCCTTGTGTCTGAGGTCCCGTTCCTAACACCTAAGCCCCCCCTCAGTTTTTCCCGGACGAGCTTTCCGAAAGAATAGTACAATGCATTCTCGCGATAGTTTGGATGTGTAGGGCCCATTTTTGGTGGTTCGAATAAGCGCCTTCTATTCGAAGTTTTGACTCTAGCGGATGGAGTCCCGGTGAAGTTGAAGGTTACATTCCAGGACGCCTTGAACAGATCGCAACTTAACCAGTGAGGTTCCAAGACGGTTTTCCAGAGGCCGCTGTCTGAGTCCACAGACCCTTCCACCACGGGGATCCCGGTGTCGACCACGTACCCGACTCTTATGGTCGGTTCCCCCGTGAAATAGCCCTGCATATTGTCCGAGCCGTTCCATAGTGGTTGCTGTGAAGCATACTCCTCTCCGTCCCACACGGCGACTAATGTTACTTGGCTCCGGGGCGCCCAGTGTCGGCTTTCTATGTCGACCCAGTCCATCGTGTCAAAAGCATTCCTCGCCTCGCTGACGCTTTTCTCATGGCATTCATACCATGGCGCGTCGAAAACGGCGTTCCAAGTACAATTATACCCTTTGCAAGGAGAGGAGATATCACGAGGTTTTTTCAAAGTGAATGCAAAATTAGTTGCTTCGGTAAATAGGTAGCCGGTACCACCGAAGTATTGGTCATGACCTGGGGGGTCGGAGTTATTGAAGTACACTAGATCGTACCCTAAAACCCCGTATTTGGGTTGATCCTGAACGGCATCATTTTGCGCCGAGGTGTTGACAGCCGGTACAGTGCAATCAGCAGTAGATTCCACACGAGATAGTTGCGCCGTGAGCGCACCAGGGGACAAGACAGCGGCGAGGGGTATAACCCTAGAATTATTCTCAGCAATTATCCCTTTTATATGAGGTGGATGAATAGTCTTCAGCTAACCACGTCGCCAGTGCCATGAGTGTTGCAACTTTCGCTCTGGTTGCACCATCCTTGGAATAGAAGCCTGTGGGATCCTCCGTCAACGCAAATAAATTATCGATCCCCTTTACTGTAATAGGTTTGGTTCTTAGCGTGTACCAAATCCGTTGCCTATAATTATCAGCATCACAATCCATCATTACCACCGCCACCACAAACCACTAGACTCTACAAACCTATATGCCAAAACGATGCTCCCGACCAACGCAGCCTTCGTGAAAAACGCAAACGCTGTCCCAAACCGGACCATTATCAATTGATCCTTCGCACCTTTTCCGTGCAACGAAACATAGAACCAGTGATGCAGCAATGCTCCCAACAGTCCCAAGATGAATAATCCTATCATCGCACTCGGAAGGAACCAGTGTAGCTTTGACCCCCATTCCATATCCCTGCGAATTCGTTCACGTAGTCGAGAGCCAGTCGAAGCGTTTGAAGCAACTGATCCTGCACCACTAATAACTCTTTCAACTCGCTTCTCATCAGGTAAACCGTCAGTTATCGTCCTTGATCGTAGTAAATCTTCTGTGGGCTCAACACTAGTAATCACCATTGGGGAGGGCGCCCTTTCATTTGCATCTCCTTGAGGCGGGTACGGATCATACTGCTCCATATTCTCTTTCTTTTTTTCGTTTGCTTTCTTTCTCTTTCGATGGCCTTTATCGGGTGATTTCGCTGCGATACTCCAAGTGCGGAAGAAAGTTAGGAAATAGAGTGAGGAAGCACAGCTACTATAGAGGGAGATTATCAAAAGTTAATAAAACCCTGCCACTTCATCCCTACAAATTGTGCGGACGCCTATTAGGGGAGTTTAAATACCATTAGCTAGGCTATGCGCACCCCCATTGGGAGGACGGCCCAGTGGGGTATTTGAGCCTTGCTTGCCACGATGGTGGTTCTTGGCCCGCTGACTCTCAAAAAGCAATGTGGGAAGAAAACTTAAAATAAATGCCCCAAACTCTACTCGTACTCGAGTAGTTGCGATACCGGTACCCGCCGAAACTACGAAAAAGAAGCAAAGGTCAAGATCTGGCGGGGGGGGGGTGAATGAGACTTGTCGCTAACTGGAAGGATTGATGAGTAATTGAATAAGTTTTTACGAAAGATAACACTAAAATGTTGTTCCTCAGCTGCTCTCGAAAAGCACTTTTTCCTACGAGCACAACTCTCCTCTTCATCTTGATCCCCAAGTGCAATCTAGGCAAAAAAAAAACCATTAGAATATCGATATCCCACAGGGTGTTGGATCGAGCTCATTCAAGCACTTTGACCAGCATGTGCAGTACTACCTAGCTGCGCCTGGAATTATTAGAGGCCATTATTGTTACCCATTACCCCGCTACTTACCCACCCCACTATGTTATACTAGGCCTTCGGTAACCTAAATCACTCTCTGTACGACAGGTAAATCGGGGTTCCCGTGTGTTTGATATGTGTGACCGCACAAAAAATCCTCCCGTCCCAGAAACTTGCCAGAACTCTCCCTCCATGAGCTTGTAGCAGCAATCTATTATACCAGGTTAATACCCGATAGCGATACTGCCAGGCACTCATTACAGACACATCGTGGGCGGCCCCGACCCCCAGTATAATTCAAAAACCTGTGAGGCGAGTTAAACTACTTGTATCGCCTCACAAAAGAAAGAAACGAAAATAATTAAAAAGGCGTAAGCACGACTTTCCCCGATGCAGCCAATTCCACGATGCAGCTTAAAAATCTCAGCCAGACCCTATCACACCATTAAGCCAAGGTCATACAGTGAATGGCCCACCCAGACTAGAACATGTCAAAAAAAGGAACAAGACCTCCCTCATCGAGCCCACATCCCCGCACCACCAAAGGCACCCGGCGAGCAATCACCAAGGCCACCCGGGATCCAGATTCACGTACGATATTTGAATGCTCGAGTATTGTCGGCGGAGAGGCACAGGCGCTGCCACACAAATTGCCTTCGGGAAACCGGGGCATACCTTGCGGTACCGGTATTAGGATAACCTTTTTGCCAAAGGAATCCAACATCTCAGCCTAGTCTTGCGGTGCGATGGAATGATCACTTAATGTTGTGTCAAAAGTGACAGAGATTCCAACGGAACCAAATCTAAAACCAAAAAGGTATACCTACGGGTAACATAAGATGTTTCTGAAAAGTCAGAATAAGCGGCACGCCTGCGCGGCTCTGTTCAGCTAAAATTTGACCTTGTGCAAAGGCTTGAAGTCAAGGGCAATCTCTATTTCCCAACCGTATACTTCGCTTGTAGCATAAAAGTTAGTAGAAAAAGAACCCCAGATATCTATGCAAGTGTGTGAAATCAAAGGGTGTTCCGTGTTTTCGTAGCCCTAACCCTATAAGCTAGTGAATTATAGGTTCTTTAGAATCCTCAATTTCTAAACCCCAGACCAATAAATTAGCAAAGTATCATACCGTTCGGCAAATCCTCACCCGCATTGGGACTATGATACCAAAAGTACGAAAGATTCCCGGGTATCACCTCCATTCATATCACTGGGATATGAGGCGCAAAAACATTGACTAACTGCAGGCTCGCAGAAGTTTCACAGAAGTGCAGGAAGTGACAAGAGCAACAAATACCGACCCAGACCACTTTCTAACCCGTTTTGGAGGGAAACCAATAATTGGGTGCTTACTTGTACCAGACATCCCACTCGATCAGCTCCAACCCACTTGCCCAGCTGATATAGACTATCTCCACAAAAGTCGGGCTGTCATGTGTGAGTTCAGTTTCGATCTCCTGATTGGTTTTCAAACACCTCGTCGTGGCAGAAACTGATCCAACTACCGTCTGAGGGGAAGACTCTGGCACCAGTGCATGCAGTTGTGCACTTTCTCCATCCAGAACCATCCATCCCGCCGCACACCTCGCCCAACATCGCCTGGTGACACTGCCTGTTCCAAGGAGGAGGGTTCCGCAGCATACACCCTATTTAACTCAAGGCCAGTCAAATAAACTAAGATCTGAGAGCCTTGTCGCCTGCCTCAAGCCACGAACAATGAAAGGCCAATCATTTATCATGCGCAGCGGAATGTGCTTCTTCACGACATTTCCACGACTTTTTACGAACGCCCCGAGCAAAATATCGTAGGAGCCCTCCTCCGGCCCTAGATTCCGGACATGCGCCGCCGAAAATTATCCAGCGCTTTGTGCCCCACCGCTCCGCACAACTCTCCTAGGTCTGTTTCAGCAAAAATGCACCATCGGTAGCTCTCCCATACAAATATAAACAGCTGAGTTAATAACTACTATCGTATCCTATGGCCAAGAAGCGCAAAGAGGAAATTCATCACTTTAACATTCGATATGCCGCAGACGGTGGCCCTCCACCATCATTGGAGAGACCATTCCCAATTGGCGCGAGCGGAGCTATTTCTCGAGTATATTGGTGTGTTGCAGCCGGGCTGTGATATGCAACCCGGCCCTTGCTATCCTCCGATGGCCCAACACCCCAGTCCCACATAAATTAATACCTTATTTTAGAGTCCCAGATCGCCCGACCTTTGGCCGATCCATTGGCGTACCCGAGTCCCCTGGGTGCTCGTGGTGTCGAAGCGTGTTTGAAAAGAATTGGTATTGCATACGATACTAACTTACTCAGATCCGAGCTCAAGAGCCAAATTTTGGTGGCCCGCGACGGCGGTTCTTTTTAAACACGCTTCGAGACTCCGAGTAGATGGGCTTTTCAAGAGAACCCAGAAAAAATGGCACGGTTTGAGCCTAATTAATTCCAAGATTCCCGGATGCTTCTGGGATCGGCAGGTAGATAACACGAGATCTTCATGCCGAAACTTCATGTTTTTTAACTTGGTGCAGTGTTGTCTCCCGGCAGTGGCATTACCGCCTCCCCAAACCATGTGCCAACCTAAACTCCCATTTACTACTACCGCCGCACCAGCAAAACCATAACTCAACCACGCCCTCCAGCATCACATTTACCCATCCTATCCTACAAAACGAACAATGTCGGCTATGGTACAGTTTCTATTTCCCATAGGTCGCTCCCCACACCCACTACCGGTAAGCCGCCCGAACCCTCTTCTAAATTCGGAAGAAGAAAAATGGGGGCAGTCGTAGAGCTGGCCGTAAGCCGGTTCGGCGATGCCAGGATAATAATAATAGTACCGGTATTGAAGACTCCAAGGACAAATCACCCACTTTACCAGAGCTACCATCCGTACACCGTGGCAGAATATCTGCTAAGCCCTGCCGAAATCCAACCTGCGGAATTCACACTGTTTTCGAGAGCGTTACCGCCCGACTAAGCTACTATGAAAAGCCCTAAAAAAAAAAAGAAAACTGATTCCGGGATTAGGATTATTTGGCACCACCTGTACTTTCTTTGCTGTGTGATATTCGAAAAATCTAAATTCCGAGCTGGAACTTCTCACTCCTCGGAGTGTACAGTACAAAAATAGCTCGCATGAACGGTGACTCGAAAAAACAAGTGCCAAACGACTATTATCTCCGCCCGGTTATCCCCCCGCGCCCCACGCCAACCGGTTTTCAATAACGCTTTGGTCCTCCCGGAGCCACTCAATCATTACCACAAAAATTTTCGAGGTTTACTATCAGATTGTAAGTGGAAATCAACGTTTCAGCTCACGAGTTTAGTTTGACAGGTTGACGAAATTGCGAATGCTCTTATGGCATGCCAGGAAAACTCTAATCCTGTCCCGGGGCTTCCGCCCCCGGACCCGGGATTATAGAGCTGGGGGAGTTGGCGGTAACGGACAGATTTTAAGAGTTTTTAATGTAGGAGCAAAGCGAAATTCCCAGGTGTTCATTCGTCTTTGGATTCTGAAACTACAAGCTGCGAGCAGATGGCACAGGCGAATACAAGAAATCACTAACACCCTACAGCAGATTAGGATACCCGTGAAGTTGTAAACCACCGCACGGAGTAGGAGTATAGACTAACTTATCACCAAAGTGGCCAGACCATAACTTAACATTTTAGCACCTTCTACCTTCTGATTCCCCTCTCCTCTCAACCCACATTCCAAGTGGTGTGGAAGCCCCCAGACCCCCAGTCAAACGGGGGGGGGGTGTATGGAATAAGTCGCGAGGGCCAGGAAGCGAGCTATCAAGGTTGTAGGAGAGAAAGGTGGAAAAGGGAGTTGAGAGAGAAAAGGGGCTGTACGGCCAGGAAAATATTGCCACAATGAAAGAGATAGTGCGTTGTCTTCAACTAGACGATAGTAACGATAAGCGTAATAGTAGAGATGAGGCTTAGACTACTCGAGTACAGTAGACCAATGTCGCTTAATTTACACCCCTTTCAGAAATCCGAGTGAGATGACATGATCATCACCAAAACAATTCAACCACCGTATGTAAAAAACAAGATACCGAGCGGAACCAATTAACTAGGTGTTAGGAAACACTATGTTCCATGTTTGGAAACTAGAACAATAACACCAAATTTTCAAGCTAACATTCTTCGTGCCGACCGCACGACCATAAACCCCCAACACCACGCGCAATCCCATCGACAAAGTCCTCCTCTGAGATCCTGGAGCCTCGGCATTCACATCACCGCACAAACACCCTATCCACCCCCCTCCCTCATTACCCTAAGATCGGCCTCAATCTGCTCTGGATTCAGACCAACTGGAGCAGTACTCAACGGCCCCTGATTAAAACATCCTGGGAAGGGATCCTCATACCCTCTAGGCACAACAGGATCCCCCCGCGCATCGTGATCGAGGGGCGGCACAACATATGATAAAATTGTGAAAGAGTTATCCGAGCAGTCATTCCTCTTGCTTCTCCTCACGTCCTCGGATACGCTGTGAGGTCGTTGATAGTCAACCTTCCAAGTCCTTTCTTGATTAAATGAGGGGTGAGGGTTAGGGATACCTTTTTAAGGAGTTCCTACTCTCCAGAGAACATGCAACTCTCATTGTATTAATTTCGTTGCGACCGCTGTTGATAGCTTTGATGGGCGATGTTCTTGGTGGGGGCAAGGTAGTGTGGCTGGTACACACGCGACAAGGAAATTTCGAGGTGGGAGGAGGCGTATTTTAAGTGAGCGAATGCTCTTTTTGTTGATGTGGGTTGGAAGCCAGGGATGGAAAAGTGGAGGTAACGAGGGTGTGGCCGGGGGGTAGAACAGCCGCCTAAAGGCCACGAGTCGCAATGCAAGCAATGAGGAGCGATGGGACCAGGTGACATAAGCCACCGACGTGAGAAACCATGAGGATTGATTACTTGAGGAGGTAACGTGAGTAGAGCCAGGATTTATGGAGTGCCAATCACGTATAAATGTCTATTATATGTCAGTGACAAGAGCAAATGGTTGAGGATGAGCGAGGAAGGCAGGCCCCCCACTTCATAAACACCCGAAATCGTGTTGGGGACACAACTCGCGACAAACGAGGCACATTCAAGAGTCGGCGTGATAAGTCATACTAGTTTCTTCAGAGAAAGCCGCCGAATCAAATAAAACTTCCACAACCACCCGGGCTTGGCTCGTACCAATACCCTTGGACTTCAATGCTATAAATTTCAGGACTCCAATACAATAAACTTGTCCATATTCCTATTTCCCAGATAGAATAATGTGAGCTATAGAAGGGAACCGACCCTGAACAATAAACCACTGAGACGCGAAATCTAATCGCGCAACGGACGTACACGTGGGCGAGTCCCAACCTAAGACCCAGGAGACATCTCAAGGAAAGAGAAGGGAAGATAGACGACATTCAGACAAAGTTTTACAGGTCTAAAAACTATAGTGATCAAGTCCTGGCCTTCGACGGAGAAATCAGCGTTTAAGTAGCGAAGGAAATCGTTAGTCAGGAAGACCTGAGGATACCAAAAAGAACCTAACACAGAAATTACATATTAGTGGAGAGTTCGAGTGATACTACATGATACATCGGTGATCCTGACGCTAAAACAAACATGTCCCCTACATCCTAGAGGAATTCTGGTATTCTACCTCCGGATGGTAAAAAAGGGTGACGGTTGTTAAGCTCACCACAGCAAGTTTGCCGCCGGACGGGTATTTCTTCCGGGTCCCTGACGAAGTCATACCGCAACGTTAATCTGCTGGTGGGGCGCGGTATTATCCCACAAAAACATGAATGGAGCTTGATATTAAGAACAAACGAAAGCGAGTAATACAGGAGAGTGCACCTTCGCCACGGTACCTCTAAATCTGCCAACCCATGAGACCAGGGCGAAGAAAAGTTCCAAGCCCAACTAATTTCACCCATTATCATACCATAACTTAACCCAAGAGGGCTATTCCGCAACCAATCATAAAACCACAAGTACAGGGTGGAAAAGGAAAGAGAAGCAAATCCTACCATAAATATAATTAGGCGGAAGTACCGGCATCCCCGCCCATTAGCTGTATGGATTCATGGAATCTATGACGCTGAGCGAATGGGAAGGCATGTATAGGATAAGAGGCAAAGGATATGGTCCGTTTGGACAACAGTAGCGTGCTCCCCATGCACCAAAAGGGTTTAGAAACACTTTTTTCGGAGGAACACATTGCCATACGAGGGAGAAAGAAAATGGGGAAAAAATGGAAAACCGTTCAAATTCTCCGCTTACTGCTGGAGGAAAATTAGGAATACTGGTATGGTGGCTGTTCCTGGAATAAAATGTATATCATACCAAGATTATGGGCATACAGTCGATACCACTTACGGAAAACTTTGTTCTCTAATAATTTTGGGTATAGCGAGGACCTCGCATGACCTGTTAGTGTTGCTGGACCTATGACCCTACAAACAAGACCACTTGTCAACGTACCAGATGGGGCAAAAAGGGCGAATGGCTTTACACCTTTTTCTCTTTTGTGGGTGGAAGGTGCATTTAAAGTTTTCTCGAGGCAAGACCGGTTTAAAGAACTCCCGACATAACTAAAGAAATTGTTTGTGAAGAAGTGTAGATTGTTCAAGTTTGAGAAGGGGAACAATATATTTTTTAATCTTAGCTATCTCCAGCTGACACTTCTCGTAGAGGTTAAAGTGAATCAGAGTTCCATGTGCATCCTGATTCCCTATTTCCAGGCCCTTTAGACCCCGGTTTCAATTTATCTCCAAACGAGCGCCATAATATGATGTACGATTGTCCACTACGCCGGTAACTTATTTGTACTCGAGTACATACTCCTTACACTCATAGGCGTATTCACATAGATTTATTAGGTTCCGGATATTTTATTAACGCAATCACCGCATAAGTCATTTTACCTCCCATATTCCAAACACTCGCTACCACGGTCTCCGCTATTCCCACGTTCGATGTCAGACATGTCTCATTTGAAGGGTGGTGATCATGGAAGTGCTTCGGAGCCACTCGACTCTTTGGGGTACCGGTAAATTAGTGGTACAAGCTGTCACAAATTCTACATATACCGGCACTCCACGAGCCCAAAACATAACTACAAGTACTTGTAGGCGGGGATAATCTCAACAGAACATTCGTTCTCAGCTGGCTAGAGGTAACATACACCATCACTCGGATCTCAACCGGGCGCCGGGGTTGCACTGCAGAGGGATGGACTTCCCCGGACCAGATAAAGAGTAGAATGGCAATATATCGTACCCGACATTCCCCAGCACCGCAGTGTCCGAGAGGGCCGATAGACAAGGAACTCTGACAATCAAAGTTATCAATGGCCCTCTACCTTTCAATAGCGGTACTATATCCAAGTCTTGGCATAAGGACCGTGCACCATAACGTGCTCGAGTAGACTTTCTCGCTTAGGTTGCTACTACGAATAAGATCACAGCGGAGGATTATCGGGCTTGCAGCTCAACCCTCAGAGGTGAGAGGTGAGATGCTTGCAGACGTCACACCCAATTCTCCTCCATCCTCATCCTGTGTTTGATCAAACAACCTTGACCCTTTCTTTCCCTTCCTTCAGTATTGACCATCTCGACTTCTTCCCCCCTTCTCTTTGTCTATTTCTCCACTTTAGCTCTTTATCCACCTCTCCTCTACTACATCCATACCATATTGCCCTTGTTATCGTCACTCCAACCACAACATCCGCCATCTCGAGGCACCCAAACCATACCCCAGTTCTCCCAGTCACCCATCCCGGGATGGTCTTCTTGGCCTCCCGTTTCTAATATCCCGCAAGCCTTCAGCTCGATAGTCCCGAGCTGTTCTTGCCCCTTGCATTATCACCCTGGCACCAACACCTCATCCACACACTCCATACGCGAGTCCTGCCACTCTTCCCACCGTTTCAAGTCTCTCCTCCGACCTTTTATTCCCCTTCACTACGGCCTCCGTATATCATCATCCCCTCCGAGTCGGACAGCATTCCTTTAGGCCTAAAATGACGCGCGTCAACTCGATCATCGGATTCCGTCCCATTCCGGTGACACTCCTCACAGTTATCACTTACGTCTCGTTATTTTCTGCTCTCTTGTTTATCGATCGACAGCCACCAGCGGTGGCGAAGAAGGGAGAATTGGATTACTGGGGAGTAGATATTGAGGAGGCCTGGAGTGATCTAGAGGTATTGACGAGGGACTTTCATCCGTACAATAGTCGACCGAATGATGATGTTCGAGCCTATCTACTGGGGAGGGTTCAGGAAATATTAAGTCGGAACGGGGTCTCAGGATTTGGGAACGAACTCCAATCGTCCGGGTACTCGGGAACGGTAGATCTATTCGATGATGGAATTCCAGGAAAGCCTGGTAGTAATGTCACGTTTGTTGGCGCCGGGAGCGAAGATCTCACGGTATTCCAGGCCCCCGTATTTTTAATTCGCCCGAGGTGGTGTGTTGCAGAAATTGACATCTGTGGTGACATCACGATAGGTATACTTTGAAGGAACCAATATAATTGTTTATATTCACGGAGAACGGCCCGCCGACGAATTGTCACCCGTACTTGTCAGTGCTCATTATGATAGTGTCTCCACTGGTTATGGTTTGTACCTACTTTCAGCCTTCAATTTACCGCCATGCATTGAACTATTGCAGTATATCAACCTGCGATACCAAAGTGTAGAGACTCTCTGCGCTGGGCACAACTTCTATGCACGGCTCCTGTGATGTCAATTGATTAGATGTATGCTGAATGATTGGCTTGTTTACCTCAGGTGCAACCGACGATGGTGCTGCCGTTGTCTCGATTCTACAGATAATCAAATCATTTACTCGCCCTGAAAGCCAGGGAGGGAAGAGACCTAAACGTGGGTTGGTAGCCTTGTTGAATAATGGAGAAGAGGATTTCTTGGTTGGTAGAACTTATTACAATGCCTGACAGAGTGTTCACTGATATTCCAGGAGTCTAGAACGGAGCAAGAGCATTTGCCATGCATCCCGTGGCCAAACTACCACGTACGACACCATTCCCCATGTCTTAGCTGGGTCGCAGTGGCGCCCCTGAGCTGCAATTATTAACAAATCTGGGGTTCCAGATTCGTTTTTGAATTTGGAAGGCGCTGGCGCTGGTGGGAGAGCAACGCTCTTCAGATCCACCGACGCCGAGGTGACGAAATACTACAAAAGAGCAAAAAGACCTTTTGGAACCATCGTTAGCGGTGATGGCTTTAAGGCCGGACTTATCAGGTATAAGATTTCATTCTCCTAAAGGCATATCAGGAATTACTAAATATATTTCTCCTACCCGCAGGAGCGGTACAGACTACTCTGTTTTCGTCGAGAACCTTGGAATGAGGGGTCTCGATGTAGCATTCTATCAACCCAGGAGTCGGTACCACACTACAGAAGATGACGCCAGACACTGTAAGCCTCCTCCACAGCGAAATTGCACATTAAAGTAACCCACTGACGACGGCTACAGCAAGCAAAAGGTCACTTTGGCACATGCTTGGCGGATCTTTGGCTACGCTACGAGGCATGACCGATGATACTAGCAAAGTCTTTGATTCACCAAATGGAAGCGCCGGGAAAGGTCACAACGCGGTTTGGTTTGATCGTATGATCTCAGCCGAATTCCAAAGTTCAGGTCAATTCTAACGATCATTAGTCTTCGGCCGAGCTTTCTCGGTACTTCATTTACACACAATTTTTGCCTTCACCATCACGTTGATTGTTGTTCCATTTGTTGTGGTGCTAGTAGCCATGTGGGCTCTCGGGCATTTCGACAAGTTATACTTTTTTTCAAACACAGCCTATATACCACCCCCACCAGAACACTCCATCGCTTCGAGAACGACCCAGGGATGGCGTGGGGTACTACGTTTTCCAGTGGCGTTCGTCGCAGCCAGTGCCGGTGTTGTAGGAATGGCCTTCCTAATCAATAAGATTAATCCAATGGTTGTTTATGCCTCACAATATACCGTTTGGACCTGTTTCCTATCCACCTGGTGGATCATCGCGTGGGTGATCCTCCGGGGCGCAGATGCAGTTAGACCCACGGCGTTGGCCAGGGGCTATGGATTCCTTGAGCAATGGTTACTATGGCTTGTGGCTATGATCGGGGTCGCTATAAGTATCGGAAAGTCGCATTTGGGCAGCGGATACTGGGTGCTCGTCTTCTACTCTGGGTTCTTTACTTCTGCTTTTATCTCCCTTTTAGAGATGGCCGCACTTCAGAAGAAGAGTGAAGTTAAGATTGCTGTCAGCGGAGATGATCAGGCGTATCCCCCGGAAGAACATTCTCAGACTGGAGCGTCGGGCAATATCTCTAACCGCGCCGCCAACGACGATGACGATGCCGGCGAACACGCTACTGAAGAGACACCGCTTTTTCGTGGACCCAATAGACCATTGTCCTTTGCTCCCCACAGGAACCCTCGATACGACAATGGCGATCACGATAGTGGGGATATCCTTGTTGAGGAGAAGGATGAGGCGGTCTATGGGGGTGAACAAGGGTGGAGCAAGGATTTACCATCATGGACATGGATTCTACAATTCTTGGCGACAGTACCTTTACAACTAGTATTGGCTGGCTCGGTGGCGCTCCTTCTTGGGAATGCGCTGGCGCAGACCGGGGCTGATGGAAGCGACATGCTTACAGTATTATTAGGTTTTGGGGTATTTTCGATAATTCTGTTACTACCCGTGGCGCCCTTTTTGCACCGTATCACTTACCACGTCACGTTGTTTATATTTGTGATCTTCGTTGGGACGTTTATCTACAACCTAGCAGCGCCCCCTTTCTCGCCAAACGCGAGATTGAAGGTTTACTTTCAGCAAACAGTAGATCTTCAAACAGGAGAAAACAATGTCCATCTCGTCGGACATCCGGATTATATCGACAGAATTGTGTCAAAACACATTCCTAGCGCAAAAGGTAAAGTTGATATATGTCAAGCCGACAAGCTCAAATCTGGATTACGCAGATGTTCCTGGAAGGGGATAGCACCAAGAGTTGTGCCACAAGCGCCTGGTGGCATGCCACCCGAATACGGCTTCAGTGATTGGATCTCTTACAATGTCACCAAGACTGGGGACGGAAAAGCGACGATAAAACTCAGGGGGAGAAATACCCGGGCATGCAAACTATTGTTTAACAAGCCAGTCGGGATCGAGGTTTTGAACGGCCATGGAGAACAGCCCCCATATGGCAACTTAAGCATGCCCATCGGGCAGAATAACAGACAGTCGAAGCTTGCCAAATCCCCCACCCTTGGGAACCCCATTCCGGGGTTCCCGAATACTAGAGAGCTGCGGCTCTGGAGTAGAGATTGGGAACGAGGGTGGAGTGTGGAGCTGACTTGGGAGAAGGAAGAGGATCAGGAGGAAAACAAGGATAGCCATTCATCAGCTATGTCTACTAACAAGGTCGCAATCACAGAGCTGAGGTCGGTGCGGAAGAGGCAAAGCGGTGACAGAAACAAAGGCGAAGGCAGCGGCGATTCTAAAGGAGGTCTAGATGGTAGAGTTGTTTGCCTGTGGAGCGATGGAAATAAGGTGTCTGACGAGATCCCTGCATTGCACGAAATAAGGAGGTATCTGCCAGTTTGGGCCATTGCGAGCAAGTTGGGTGAGTTGAGTTGTCATTTTCTCTTCCCCTCGTTTTTCCTTTTTCCCCGAAATGAGGAAAAAGGGTGTACCTGGGGAGGATTTGGATTGGGTCAAACCCCTCAGTAACCAGTTTTCGGATGCTAATTGAGATGCGGTGATTTTTTTTCTGATTTTTAGCGGATGGACTTGTGGAAGGATCTGTTCCCTTCATGATTTGATTCGATTCGATAGGTCGCTATGATACGGTATAAACCTGTCAACCTATCCAATAGAGGGCGGCTGTTCGGTCGGTGTGCCTTCACATCTTTTTTCCTTTTCCTGCCTGCCTGGCTTTCTTTTTTCTTTTCTTCTCTCACTGCTAGTCTATTCGGGAAAAGGAAGCCCGAAGCGGGCATGGACTAGACATGTATGGTGGTGGACTTTCCGTATACGGTAATTTTATGAGGGAATCTCAGTAGGGTTCATTCAGGTGCAAGTTACAGTAAGTTGACGTTGGGGGAAAAGTTGGTCGGTGGGACAGAGGGAGCTTGAGAGAGAGGGGGGCCGATCCCTTGCTTCTAGTTATTATTCCCTTGATTGCATGCGCGTTTGGTGGGATTTCGGTCCATTTTTTTCCTTCGTTTCTTTTTGTGCGTGCGGGGGACGGTAGGGTGCGGAATGGTGGTGGGTGAGCAGACCTGAACGAATTGAACCAAACAGCACCCGATTAAATTGCGCCCAAAAGGCTCCTCGGATACCATACAAATGCTCATGTACCCCTGCACAAGTACAAGTAAGATACAATGCATCCGACATTGAACTACTCGAGTAAAGTAAAACCACCTTCCCACCGCCTAGCCACTTGAACAAAAAATCTATGACAGCAGCACTCGAGTAGACTACTGTGAGACTCCACCATTATCATACATACAGTATGATACGCTAAGCAAGCCCCCGCACAAGCCCGCCCACCCATCTACGGTACTCGAGTACCGGTACCCATCCACCGGCCCGACCGCACTGCACAGCAAAGCAAATCAAAGCACAAGTCTATCTGCACGTAGACCTATCGTACTTGGTGCCGGGCACTCCACTCCACTC